TGAAAGGTAAATATACTGGTCAAGTTTTGACAGACAATTGTGAATATTGTACGTGTCAGACCCTTGTTTCGCTGATTACAGATTTTTGAATATGTTTTCTATGTTGTTATATATACACTACTGAAAGGTGAATATACTGGTCAAGTTTCAACTGACGGCTGTTAATATAGATTAATACAGATTTTTGATTATCTGTAATTAGCGAAACGAGCCATATACGTATTAAATATTATCATTTTCGGCAAATATTTTGTAAATATTGTGCGTATAAAACCCATTTGCACTGATTACAGTTTAATTTATATTATGTGTGTTATCCCGTTTTGTTTCGTTTCGTCGATTACAATAAGCCGCATACAGAAAGTCATTCCCCGGAGTCATCCACATTTCTGAAACTTCTTTCGCGCCTCGGTCTCGCATTCAGCTCCTGCCTTTTTCAGGGTTCTCTGCCATGTAATCATGCCAAAGTCACTCGGAGCTGAACATAAAATTGCGCAATGATATCTGATGGAATAAGAATCCAGGCAAAGTCGTGTACATTGTGTATTAAACTATAAAATAAATGATCATATTCACAATCAATAGTTCTCATCTTTCTTCATCTAACAATGAATGACACCAACAGGAGTTGCATACATAGTAACTTGTTTGAGTTGATCACACTCCACTTGATTGCAAAAACGGCATAGAATGTTCGCAATATGGGGTAGGATGCTCTCAATATGTGTCTGAAATAGGGGGTGTTTTTTTCTTCAATATGTCTGCTCTAGGGGGTACTAAATTTACATTGCGTCCGCAATAAGGGGTATGGTTTGCCAATGTGCTGCTAGCCCTAGGGGCCTATTATTTTTTAGCAAGAACGCACATGGTGTAAGGTTTTAATATAGAGTGACCCCCCGGGTCCCGGCCAACCATCCTAAATCCACCGACTTATGCTACACGATTTGGACCAACATCTTGTGATCAAACCATCTGAATCTGGAGTAAGTCGGTGTTCTGTGTGCTGTTACTTCTAGTGCCATAATGTTAGAATTACCCCTCACATGGACAATGAAAAGACTAACAATTGAACTGACGGGCGGGGCTTGCTTCA